AGTGTTGTGGCTAAAGAAAATTCTGCAACAGCTCTATTTAGCTTGTCAATGCTTGATTAGAATAAAGAGTTTGTGGGTATATCAAAATTGATTCCCCCTTTAGTAGAATTATTGCATAATGGGATAATTAAAGGGAAGAAAGACGTTGTTATAACTCTCTTTAACTTGTCTCTCAGCCATGCAAATAAAGGTAGGGCCAGTAGTGCTAGCATTGTGACACCCTTGAATTGCTCAAGGACATAGACTTAGGCATGATTAATGAAGCCCTCTCCATTCTGTTAGTCCTTGTATCAAAATCCAGAAGGAAGGAAAGATATTGGAAAACTCTCCTTCATTGAAACTCTTGTTAAGTTCATCCAAGAAGAAACCCCTAAGAACTAGAAATGTGTAGCATCTGTTCTTCTTGAGTTGTGTCCAAATAATTCATCCTTTATACTGGCAGCACTTTAATTGAGATCAAACAAGAATAATGGGGATAAAAATATTATTCCTTGAAGCTAGGCCATAAAAAACAATTGAGGCTTGAGATTTCTATAGTCATATTGGATTTGTATTTGTTCTTGTATACTATAAAGAATTTTTATGTCCATTGTAACAGATTAATATAATAATGATTAATGTATTCGATAAGTTTTATTATACTAAAATAATCTTCAGAAAGAAAGACTCTGATATAAATTAACAATTTCAAAAGCTATAAGCATGGTTGAAAATTGTTAGGAACATGCAAATGCATGGGAGAAATTAAAATGAGATGAAAAATGTTGGTGGGGTTAATTAATAAAAATATTGGTTTGACAGTGCTATATTCAGATTTGACAGGTGTTTTTTCTTTTATTCAAAATGAAAGTTAGGAATTAACCACCATAGTAAACTATTAGTACATTTCTAGAGCAAGAAGGAGAATAGAAGCAATTTACAAGAATGAATTTGACCAGAAAAGATGTAAAGAACTACCAACAAAAAAGCAACGTAGAAACTAGAAGATTAGGGAACACAACTATATATATATATATATATATATATATATATATATATATATATAGGGTAAGGATCATTTTACACCAGTGTAAGTTACACTCTTAATCTTAGCCGTTAATCCCACTTTTATCTAAGGGCTCAAATTTTTTAGTAATGTGAGCCATTGGATACAAGTGGATCAATGGTCAAGATTGAGTGTAAGACTTCTAATTCTTACACCGGTGTAAGAATATCCTACCCCATATATATATATATTGGTCAGAGAAATTATCATCACTCACAAATCGATATAACTAACCCAATAAAAAAGCATCCGTAGGAAAGTGGGATTTTAATTAGAAGCTGAGCGAACGATCGAAAGAATGATACGGTGATCAAGAAATAGAAATAGAACACTTTTTGCTTTTTAGAAAAGAAGATAGGACAATTTTCGATCATCACGTGAGATAGTTAACAGAGTTTGGTGTTTCTTTTAACAGATTTGCTTAATTGCTTTAATGATATAGTTTGAGGGAGTTAATTATTTCAATTGAAAGTTGAATGTGGTTTTCTAAATAGGGGTCTAAATACATTACGTTAAATTGTAATTTAGCCAAAGAGATTAAATATATTCCTCTTCACCAAGTGTTTAAAAATTAATTGGGACGGACTATGAAAGTCTACATTATAATCCTTTAGTTTCCAAGAACGGATCCCCTCATATTGCAATTTCACATCATCATCATGTCATGTAGAAGATCCCAATCATCTAATAATAAATCAACGGTGACATTCTTTCTTTACCCTTTTGCGAGCACAATAATTAAAAATTATCAATTTATATAACTTTTAATTTGTCAATAAACAGTTAGATCTTATGATCATGTTAAATTGAGAAATGGAGACATAAAAAGATTTATTCCCGAAAATAGGGTGGAGCCCTTTGAAAAGAGTTAAAAAAAAAAAAAAAGCCCCACCCTCTCTCCAGTATGGCAAGAGATAACTTTATTTCAAATTTATAGGGGGAAAAATTAAATCCTTTTAAAATAAAACTAAAAAACAAGGGCAAAATTTACTTAAATGTTAAACCATCATCCTCTTGTAAAATAAATAATAAAAACAAAAAAAAGCATCATCCTTCCCTCCATCCAAAAATATCCTTTAAGGGGGTGTTTGATAGTAGAGAAAAAAAAATTATCCATGAATCACGATTACCAGTAATGTGATAGGAAAATGAAATTTTTTAAAATGTGACCAAAAAGTTATTTGGTAGGCCAAAATTTTACCAAAAATATTAGGTGAAATTTACTGAGTCTATATTTGATTGATTATAAAATATTACTGAGAATTTAGTGTGATATTACAAAATATACCCCCACTTAGGTATTGTTAACACAGCCTCAAATAACGAATAGGAATTACAAAAGATTATTTTTGTCACCTTTTTCTATTTTCTCGGTAATCCAACAATACCACCCACTTGGGAGGTATTGTTGACAGTAATTTTCATCTACAATTTACACATAAAAGTGATTCCCAACTAAATAACATTCCTGGATAAATTTTCTAAAAAGTGATACCAAACATGGTCTTCCCAAAAATCTACCCTCACTTTCTTGAGTATTCAAAAAGAATCACCCTACCAAACACCCTCTAAAGATCTTTAAGACTTTATTTGAGAGTTTAGAGATGAAAGAAAGGAAAGGAAAGAAATCTAAGGAAAAGAGAGGGAAAAAAAAGACTATTCTCTTCTTGAAAGTTAAAAATATAATAAGGAATAAAAACGAAAGATTAATGAGATATTTTTAAAATTTTATCATTTCTTAAATAATTAATATAATTAAAAACTAAACTGATATTATGTTTACAAAATTAATATAATATAATTATTATATTTTATAATTAATGATAAGAGAATATAAGTAATTTCTAATATTTTCCTTTTCAAATCAACCAAATTGGGGAAACTTTGATTTTAAGGGAGAGAAGGATTTTGAAGGATTTTATAAAAATTTCTAATTTTCTTCTCTCATTTTTTTAAACTCACAAATAAAAAAAGACATAAAGAAAACCTTCATCTTCCTTCCTAAAAAGTGACTCCCAAACAAGCCCTAAAAGGCATGAAAACCATTCGTAATAATCCTTTGAATTAACTACTTAGCATTCAAATTACCTACCCCTTCTACATGGGAACAATTACCACACTGCCACTTTTTGGCATATTTTTATCTATCTATCACGCGAACAATATTTTTTACTAGAATGCCACGCATCGAAGTTCGCTACAACTGATAGCAAACTTGGTGGCCAATGATTTCGTGACACATGACACTTTCACAAGAAAAACTAACTGACATGTGTCTAAGCTCCCTACGACTGGTAGCGAACTTGGTAGCCAATAATTTCGTGACACGTGGCACACTTTCACAGGAAAAGCTGATTGGACCAAATTCACTACCAGAAATAACGAACTTGGTGTGCTATATGACAAAATTAATGTACCAACCACAATCAAAAAAAGAAAACGAAGGAAAAGAACTATTTAATTAATGTACCAATCACATTAATGTACCAATAATCAATCACAAATAATGTACCAGTCCCGTTATTATAAAACTTCGGTAGTCCACAACTTTTGATTCCTACATCCAAATCAGATGATTTTTTTTTATTTCACATAACTTTTCAAAATCTACGCAGTGACACATCATTTGAATATTTTATCTCTCACAAACATTGTAAAAATTTGTAACAATAGTACCACAATCCCAAACAATTAATGTAGCAATCAACAATCACAATTAATATATCAATCACCAATCACTATTAATGTACCAATCACAATCAATAATGATATATTAATTGTGATTGGTATATTAATTAAATAGTCATTTTTCTTTTTCTTTTTTTGTTGTGATTGGTACATTATTTATGTCACATAGCGCACCAAATTCGCTACCCTAGGTAGCAAACTTAGTCCAATTAGCTTTTTCTACGAAAATATGACAAAAATATGTCAGTGTTATAAAATTATTGACTACCAAGTAGGGTTGACAAAACGGGCCAACCCGGCTCGACCCGGCCCAACCCGCATTCAGCCCGAAAAAAATGGGTCGGGTCGGGTTGGCTCGAAAAAAAAAACGAGCCAGAAAAGCCGGGTCGAGCCGGGTTAGGGTTGGCTCGCGGGTTGGCTCGATAATCAACTCGCGGGTTGGCTCGTAAAAAAGCTCACGGGTTGGCTCAAAAAAAGCTCGCGAGTTAGCTCGAAATGATGCTAGTGGGTTGGCTCGCGGGTTGGTTAGCTCAAAATATTGGCTCGCGGGTTGGCTCAAAAAATTTAATTTTTGTGGTTTGTTCTCCTGTATAAAATTATTGTATTTTGCAGTCCAACTACAAGTAGAGTAGTTTACAAAATCCAAAAACATTAAATGAAACACAAACCACTCCACGAATCACAGGAGTCATTTATCATGATTTTCTGAATTAGTCTAACTCACGATAACCATAAAACGTATGTAAAGCCAAAAAATAAAAAATAAAATAAATCCATTATATATTTCAACGATAAGCATCTAGAATCAAAAGCCAATCATGAAAAAAAAGGACCTGCAAAAGCGACCAATATAGTAAAGTCCTGGAGAATCCATCAGTAAAGTCCATTGTATTTTATTAAAAAAAAAAAAAAAAAAAGTAACCCGCGAGCTCGTTCAACCCGCGAGCTGGCTCGTTTGAGCTCGAGTCGGGCTAAATCGAGCTGGCAGCTCATTTTTGCCAACCCAACCCGGCTCGTTTTGTGCGGGTTACGAACCAACCCGACGAGTTGGCTCATTTTTGCCATCCCTACTACCAAGTTCTCTACCAGTCGTAACAAACTTAGACGCGTGGCAATTAACTTTTCATGCGAAAGTGTACCACGTCACAAAATCATTGACAACTACATTCGCTACCAATTGTAGCAAACTACAATACATTGCAATCTGAAAAATTTTACTGTTCATGTGATAATATGATATATAAATACCAAAAACGTGACACATTAGTTACTGTTCCTTCTATCTGTTCCCTTGTCCGTTCAATTGAAAAACAGCACCCCAGCAACAACAGTTTCTCTTTTAAACGATAACACTTCCACTCTTAATAGCTAGTTTTTAGGGTGAGGCGTCATTTTTCAATTGGAGGGGCAGAGAACGGAACAGCTTACACGAATTGATGATTCTATTCCCTACTACCGAACAACATAAACAATCTGACAAAGCAGGAAATAAAGACGTTATATCATTGTATTCATACAGACCAAGATGGATATGTATCCAACCACCAATTTATTTGGAAGTTCGAGTCAACCCCTCGACTTAGAAAGAGAAAATTAACCATATACCAATCGTCACACACAACACATTATACGAACCTTAACGAAGACGCAACAACTAAACACGTACTCACTCAAGTGAGCCCCACAATGTCAATATCATACCCATTATCCAACTTTACACCCACTTCTTACCTACCAACATTTCCCAACTATAGTCTGAAGCATTGAGGCAGAAAAAAGGGCTAGCACTATGTATAACTTGCAACCAGATGATGATATCAACGATTCTTACAGGTGCACCATTATGACATTTCCACTAGAGAAGTGTAACAAACCATTGCGACACCACCAACCCAGAAGATACAAGCTCCACGACGACTTAATAGTCTTTTATTTATCACCACCTATCCGCCCCAACCAACCAGACAAGGCATTTACTTCTTACGAACTTTGAACTGTAAAGATGCAGGTATATCTTCCTTCGTCCGGGCTGAAGAGCTCAGCATAATCTGCAATAACTTGCAAGAAAAGTTACATAATTCATAAATCGGCGGAAGCAGTCATAATTCTCTAGACTTCACAACATTGTTTGAAAGATAGTAATAAAGGCCAAGGCCCAAAGGGCAATATTAGACATAAACACCGAGATGATAATTTAGTGAAAGAGGATAAGAGCGACTTACAAGATTGTCCACATTTCAACTTATATAACTGGATAAGTTACAAACATCAACAAATTGAAGAATAATTTGATACTCACCTTTTGTACTAGCAAGTGCCTGCAACAGGTCAAGTCCAAAGAAACTCCAACAACATTCAACGACAAGGCAGCAAAGTTGGAGTTGAGTAGCAAAAGAATGCAGCACATTCGCTTTAATCCTTCAAGGACCTCAAATACATAATTATGTCAGCAATCCAAAAACTGAACAGAATGAAATGCATACATTAAACCAACAGCAATAAATCCAGGCCAGAAGCATACCATCTATACTCTCATACTGACATCACACAAAGTAACGACCTGTCCAGATTGACTGTCCTTGAAATTGCTCAGGCAGGGGAGAGAAGTGCTGATTTCCAGTTGTGAGCAGCGGCTGAGGCTGCAGCTGCTGATCATGGTGTGATTTTAAAAGGTCATAAGTTTGATATTCTGGCCAACCATTTTGCTTCTCCACCTGTAAAGGCACAGATGGAACTTGTTTTCCAGGAAAAGGAAAGCTGATGGTCCCACTCAATCCATTGTTATTGACTTGCTGGGAATTTGACTGAGAGTAAGTAACCAGACCATTGAGGCCTAAGTCTTTGGTTGATGAATGCAAATGATAGCCATCCAACCAACTATAATCATCCATAATTGGATTCCCATTGATTGAATCCAAAACAGGGGATTCAATACCTTGTTTAAGAGGAACAGGACTAAAACCAGGAGGAGGTCCAAGGTGCCTGGCAGGTCGACTGACTGGGGCTTTTCTCAAACCAGCCTGTAAGGCCGATGATGTCTTCACATCTAAGTTATCTGTAATTACTCCAGAAGATGCAATAGCATCGATTTTGGATGGAATCACAGATTCTGGAGCTTTTGAGAGACCATAAAACACACCATTTGAGTCAGCACTGACAGATTGTTGGAAAGGAATAGGAAGTGCAACATGGTTAGAGATGCCTACAGCTTCTTGTAGGCCAGGTTTCATCACATGCCCATTCTCAAATAACCTAAGACCTTTTAAACTGTTAGCAAGAGAAATTTCCTCCTCTAACCACCTTGATGTATGTGGCTGAACTGGCTGCAGGTTTTGAGGCACCATACCACTAACAGAAACTGGCAAAGTTTGAAAATTCAGATTATTGAGAGGGTTAGAAGTAGAATTAACATGAAATTTTAAATCCTCTCCAGAAACTTTTAGAGCAGGCTCCAAACCCTCATTGGGTGCCCATGATGAGACAACCACATCAGACCGCATCTCAGCCACTATTGGCTTGAAAACAATAACTTCATCATCATCATCTCCTTCCATATACTGGTGTTGTTTTGACTGGACAATTTCCACCTTTGATTTATCCGTTGGCTTTTCTTGCAGTAACTCTTCTGCATTTGGCATGCATGAGTAGGTGCCAAGAAAATCATCTGGGGTTTGAGGCTCAAAACCAATTACAAATTTCTTTGCCTTTGAATCAAAATATATCATTTTTTGATCAACCCTAACAACATTTGCTAAAGCCTTCCCTGCAGCTAAAATCCTTTTGAGTCGAGCTTTTGTGTCCTTATCACCATCAGTTCCAAGGGAATGCTTCCTTGAAAAATCCAAGATGGTTTGTGCAGGAAGAAGTGGAACAAATCCCCTCAACTCAAAGTCCTCCCACAAAGCAAGTCCGTTTTCAGTTTCCCCTTCTTCATACCTGCTCATGTTAGTAAAGCAAGTCTCCTCTTCGTCATCATCAATAGACATAGGCCCAACTGAAAGCAGCTTATTCAAGAAGGATATAAAATGATTCCAAAACTTTGATCTCAAAGTTGCCTGATTCTCATCCACATCATTGCCTGCAGCAAGATCTGGATAACAAGCCAACCACTCAACAAATACCAAAATGCCCGGTAAAAGAAAACTAGAAGAAGGATCATGCAGCTGTGCACATCTCTCTATTATGTAACCCATCAATTCAAAAGCTGCAGTAAATGCATTCTGAAGCAGAACAGCACGCTGTACAATTTCTGCATAAGTTTGACCTTCAGATTCCCTGTTCACATTATAAACTGTAAATACTAGAATGCAGACAATTCTGACAATGGTAAGTCCATTCTCAGAAGTATCAGTGCCAAAATTCAGCTCCTCATCTAGCCCTGAAGACAGAAGCTCATGCAGGCCAGTGTTAACAACAGCAAGAACTTCAGTGAAGGTCTCAAGGCTATAAACAAAGTATATGAGAAACAAAGGGGGAAAAGTCAGAAGAACATACGATAGATTAGTGGTGATACATATAAAGATATACAGAAAGAAAATGTCATGAATATATACCTTGTACGAGTAAACAAGATTCCATTTAGACGGACAAAGCGAGTGCAGAAGTATTTATAAGTTTCTTGTATGCTGGAAGCTCCTTCAGTTCTAGGACTGGCATCAACACCAGCACCCCTTGTCGCAAGTTTTGCTTCCACTTTTCCTCTTCCTTTTCCAGTTAATCGCCCATAAGATTCCTTGACTGCAAGAGCTTTAGCATCACTGGGAAGCTGATAGAAACTTTGGCGATTCTATAATAGAATTATAAAAATAGCTAGTTAGAATAATTATAATGTAATGCCAAAAGGATAAAAAGCCATATATTAGATAAAACGGTGAAAACAGGAAACAAAAATTAACACACCCCAGACAGGACACAATGAAATTAAACAGACTAGCTTTCAAGGCATGCTTGTTTTCATCTTTTTACTACACCAAATAAAATTATGAACTTAGAATACCTGCACAAACTCCACCTCAGACATGTATACATAACATACAAATAAGGGTATTACTAATCATCCACCCAATCTGAAATGTATAACCTTCCATTTTTAATGTACTTAATATTCATTGTCAAACACTAATAGTAAAAATAACCGAATTCCATCATCATAATAATACTTTAGCATGCAAGCAGTAATCACAATGTAAAGAAACATCAAGGTTGAATAACAAACCAAAAAGAATGAAACACAAACTACTTAAAAGATAACAACTTGATTCATTCTTGATAAATAAGTTGAACATCCCAAGAGCAAAATTATGGTCATATACTCATATTACCTTCTCAAATGCAACAATCAAGTTTTCTCTGGCAGTTGTAAATGGACTATCCACAGCCAAACTACGAAAATACCGATAAATAGCCACCAGCTCGTCCCCAGAATATGAAGCCAATAAAGCAAGCTGAAAAGAACATACTCATTAAAATGGAATATAATGACTAAGAAACCCGACTCGGAAAAAATTAAGCCACCATAAAAAATTCACAATGGATGCAGGAATGCCAAAAACCTGATGATGGGGATTCCCACTTGAAGGCCAAAGAGATGCAGCTTGTAAGTAGTAACTAGAAGCTGCTGTGAAATCCCGATTTATTGAGTCACCTTCACCATACATTCCTTTGTAACGAGCTAGATCACCCAAATATATCAGACAGCGATGACAGGATACAAAGCCTTTCTTCATGTCAGCAGATTTCTTCCCATCTTTCTCCATCATGATCCGATTCTCTGAGTCCTCAAAGTGACCAAGAGGAAGCCCATACTTTGATCTGATTTTCATAATAAGATCATGGTAAAATCCAGTTGCTTCTGAAAGAAAAGTCTTAAACTGCAGCCTTATTTTATTTATCCGGTCAGGTCGAGCAGGGCCTTTCACTCCCTGAGACGAGTTTGAGCTCGTAGAAGAAAGAGCAGCACTAAAGTATGCCCTAAACTCCTCAATCCGCTTATAGTGCAACTGCCAAAGAGCATACTCAATATTGTGCTGCTCAGAGAAAGCATGATCCTCAAGAATTATAGCTTCATAGTTCTCACGCATCTGTTGCCAAGCATTTGGATCTGAAGGGACCCGCGCCTGAGCCGACCTTCGCCGCTTATTCTCCAATTCAATGTTCTAAGTAACAAATAACTGATATGTTACAAACCAGACTTCTAACATTCATCTCACCCAAAAACCTTATGCAAATTAATTAAAAATACAAGAAGACCATGTAAAACAACAGCACGTTATAAGTTTTAGAACATTTTAGATTTAAATATGTATTCATTTTTTTACAAGTTTAGGAAATGAAAGTCCAAATAGATATCTTTATTTATTCATTCAACGTTGAAGAACTCAAGTTTTAAAAGAGATTCTCTAGATTAGCAGTCCGATTCACTGATTAGTGCCAATGTATTGTCATTTTCTCAATTCAAACCAATTTATTAGGGTCTTTCACGCAATGGTACTTTTATCTAGTGGAAATTTTTGTAAATAAGAGATTTAAAGATTAAGTAAATAACTCAAATTCAACTTCAGAAAATTTCAAACTCAAAATAGACAAAAAAAAAAATGGTATCAAAGAGATGGAAGAGCATTCAACATTACAGTTGAGACCAAACACCCAAACAGTAAACCTTCAAATTAAATATATATCAGTGCATCAAATTTTAAAAGTCAAGGCACCTAAAACAGGGCCCAAAACGAAAAGTATGTAACCATTCTGGGCATTACATATCAGAGCATCCTAATAACAAGTCCTCGCATTGATTTCAAACACTGATTCCAAGACAGAATCATAGAATTAGAGCAAACTTCATGTGGCTTTGTAGAGTCATCAATCTATTTGAAGAAAAAAGAACGTTGACCAACAAAACATTCCTCTATATGGACCAACAAACAGAAAAAATCAGATGGACCCAAAATGCCAAGAGAGTGCATATTTGTCAACTAACAGTACTAGATTTCTACAATATTTTGCTTGGCAGATTATAGGATATTTACAATAAGCCACTTTTTGTTCATCTAATTTTAAGGTTTCCAGCTCAGTGAATGACCAAAAGGGAGAAAAAGTAATACCTTTTCATAAAGGCGTTGTGCACGCTCCCATGATGAAGGAGCAGACATTTTATCCATCTGTACAATGATCATCCATCAATTATTTCTTGACTAAACTCAAGCTACATAAAACCTGCAAATAAAAAATTATACAAATTGCTTAATACAATGATTCATAAAAAAATAGTTCGCAAGTAATTGAGATAAAAAGTAAGAGTAAGGATATTCTAACTACCAAAAACTCTCACTACTAACTTACTATCCATCACATCACCATTAGATCAAAGAGAGAGAATGTTAAAAAGTTTTTGAAGAGAGAGAAAATGTTAATCTAATGGTAATGAGATAGTTAATAAGTTGGTAGTGAAAAATTTTGGTAGTTAGAATATCCCTCCTCAAAAAGTAAATGGGTTGTTACACAAAACATATGAACATACAACCTGGCCTCCTATCACATTAATATATCCATACCCTTTGAAAAGTAAAACTAAAACTGAATTCCAGTAAAACACAAAGACTAATTCGACTCCAAAATCTAAGATTGACTTGAATGAAAAAACTTAGGCCATATTAAAAAATACACAGAATAAAACCCTTGTAAAAAAATGACTGTAGCTGAAACCCTAATCGCTGTCCAAATCTAAACTAATCTAACAACAGATGACATCCCGTAAAATCAAAGTTCAAAATAAAACATCAAGTTTGTCACACCATGTCGCATGAATTAGCACAACCCAGTGATATATTATCGAAAAGGGTAACAAAGAAAACCCAAAACACAAAAGAAAACAAAACCAAAACAATTATCGGATCCCCCCTAAAAAAAAAAAAAAATCAGCTCAATTTAATTAAAAATATATACGGAACTAAATAAGATGTTTACAAATTCGAAATTCAAAAATCCCCTTCCGTTCACACTCGCATATTAATTGAATAAAAACAGAAAAGTGAAAAATTGAAAAAAGCGAGACAATGTATAAAGGAAGACACCACTTCCCAAAAGCAATACCAGATCTGCAAAATCCATCAACGATAGAACGTATTTGAACCAATCAGCACCAAGAATTTCCAGAAAAAAAAAAAAGATGAACGCGATGAAAAGGTTTGGGGGTAGGAAGAACCGAAGAGAAAAATTGAAAAACAATATATAAAAAAGAAAAAAAAAATGACCTGTGTAATGGGATTGAGGAAGAGGGAAGAGAACAAAGCATCGGAATGAAATTGAGGGGAAAATTAAGAAAGGTCTTCGCTAGGGTTTCGTTTAGTTACGTGAGAAGAAGAGAGAGAAATAAAGAAGAAAGAGAGAGAGAGAGAGGCTGCGTTGTTTCTGTATTGGGTCCAAAAAGGATGAGATTAGAAAATTCAACGTCTCTCTCTCTCAGTGTTGTGTTTTCCTCGCAGGCGACAGCCAACGACGGCGTTTTAGAGAAACCCGTTTCCAAGTCTACTTTGAAATGACCTCACCTCCTTTCTTTCTTTCAGAATTCTTTGGTCACACAAATGTATATTGATTGCAGATCGTATTATCTGTTTGTAACAATCAATTAACGTATTATTAATATTATTATTATTAATTAATTTTACTGGTATTAATTAATTTTACTGTTAAATTGATTATGTTAATTTAATAGTTATATTTATTTTCATCTTTATATGGTTATGATTCTCCATATTTAATACAAAAACATTAAATATAAGGAATCATAATCATACATAGATAAAAATAAATATAAAGTATTAAATATAGAAAATCATAAACATATAAAGATATAAATAAATATAACTGTTTAAATATGGGGAATCATAATAATACATAGATGAAAATAAATATAAAGTATTAAATATAGAGAATCATAACCATATAAAGATGGAAATAAATATAGCTATTGGATCAACATAATCGATGTAACGGTAAAATTGATTGGTAGTAACATTAATTAGTTGTTACAATATCATTTTCCCATATTCATACATTAAAGAAGTATTTAAGTTTTCTTTTTTTTTTTTTTTTTTTGATAACAAGTTTTCTTTTTTTAGAAGAAGTATGTAGGTGCTCCATTTGATTAAGATTTTAAAGGATTTTTTTTATAAAAAAAATTATTAGTATTTAATTAGGATTTTTAAAGATCGTTAAAAAATCATATGGTATTTGATGAAGATAATTAAGATTTTAAAGTCTATCCAAATCTCGTGATATTCAATCAGGATTTTAAATAAAGAATAAGCAATCTTCTGACATTCAAAAATCCGAAGATTTTAATGAATTTTTCAATAGTAGAGATCTTGTAGGATTTTTCAATAGGAGATATAAATATTATTCCTGTCTCACAATCCTATTCATACCCTAACTCTTTATGGCTCGTTTAGTTGACAAGATATGATAAAAACAGATAAGATAAGAGAGTTAGATAATGATAGAAATTGATATTGACATGATAAACTCATATCCTATCATGTGTTTGATATGCACTAGGTTAACAATATGTTAGGATTATATTATCCTATCATGTGTTTGAGGTGAAATAAATAATCATCAACATATGATACAAATAGAGATTAAAATGCCCTTTTTTAACACTATCTCCAAGGATAGTATCATTATATTATCCACAACTCTTTTTTGTCTAAATTTTAAGGTAACGGATCTACTTACCACCAAAATAGTTTATTGTTTTTACAACTAATTTAATCACGTTGATTTCTATCAATCTAACGATCATAATTTATTGGAAATTAATAACATTTATTATGTCACACTTATTAATTAATTATTAATTTTCAATAAATTATGACTGTTAGATTGATGAAAATCAACGGTGATTAAATTAGTTATAAAATTGGTAAACTTTTTTGATAGTAAATATATTCTGCCCCAAATTTCAAATATAAAAGTAAGAGATTCAAACTTCAAATTAACATTACATTACATGATTACATCACCAATATACAAAAAGAAAGCCCAGTGAGAACATAAAATGAGATACAGACAAAGCACAATCAACCCATGAGAAAAATTAAACAACAAATCTAGCTTGAGCAAATCTAGAAAAATTAACACTGTCAGTGATTCTCACATAATCATTTGCAAGTAAAACAACATCGATCTTGGAAGCAAATCCACCTTGAGTTTCATCAAGTGCATTATCCAAAATTTCATAAATTAAAGAAAGAAAATAAACTCTGCTTCAATAAAAAAATCTCTAAACAAAAAAATAAATAAAATTGCTGCAAAAATATTAAAGATAGAAATATATAAAAATATGTAAAAACTGAACCATTCCCCTGTATTAAAAATAAGTAAAAATTGATTACCAAATAAAAAAATAAGTAAAAATTGTGTTACCAAAAAAGTTGTAAAAACTCAACAATAGTAAAACATGCAAATAGCGAAACTATAAAAGCTACGTTTGTGCATATAAGTGAGAGTAAAAATAAAAAATAATTTATCAAAAAAAAATCTCAAATTATCAAACCACCTCAGAACTCAAAAGTTCTGAAGTTGCTTGGTTGAAAGAAATTTAGCATATTAATAATTGGAGTTTCTAGGTTTAACCGGAAAAAAAAGGGTCATCATACCTGGGTTGAAAAAGGGTGGAATAAGAAGAGAGAGGAGGGGATGAAGAAGAAAAAGCGTGGAAGTAAGAGACGATGAAAAAGCGAGAGGTCATGAAGTGAAGAAGAAGAGGACGAAGTAGAAGAAGATGATGGTGGCAAACTAACAAGGGTAAGTTTGATTTTGGGGTTCAGAGGTAGTAGCAATGGTAGATGGGAGGGGTTTGTCATGTTGCACGGTTGTATCGGGAAAAATAAAAATTAGGGGTCTGTTTGAAATCTATTTTGAAAAATAGTTTTTTTTTCTAAACAAAAAAATAAAATAAAAAACTCATTTGATAAGGCCTGTTTTGTAAAAAAAAAATTAAAAATTATAACTTTTTTTGTACCAACCCTAATTACCTCTTTTAGGCAAGGGTAGGTTCCTTCAAGTATCTCCACAAACTTCAGCTCTTTGAGCCGGTTATGGGACTAATCTCAAGTGCGGGGCGAGTCAGTGATTAAGATTTTATGTCGTTCCCAAATATGGTATCGGTGGGGATCAAATCGAGGTCCTTCCAACACCTACTCAGCTCTTGTAACACCTCATTCTAGAATCAGTTTTTTTATCACCATTTATGATATTAAGCGTAATTACAATCACACAATTCAATTAAAAACTACGAGTAAAATTTTTCTTTTAAAAAAATCATTTTCTTTATGCTCTCCTTGATTTTTGACATACATAATCCAGATGTGTAATTTTAACGTCTAATTATAGCGAAACTACTACATAAATGCTTAACATCATCATCCAAGTAGCTTCCATAAGCATACATGGTCAAATAAAAAAAACAAAATCCTGACGCTGCTCGCTGGACTGCTCGCTTCAGCGAGCAAGGCCAGCGAGTAGCTCCTTTCCACGTGAGCAGCTCGCTAAAGCAAGGAAGGCAGCGAGCAATTAAAATTCAAACCCGAGAGCAACCCAACTGCAGGGGCTTGCTCGTTGGGCAGCTCTCTAAAGCGAGTGTGTCAGAGAGCAACCCCTGTTTTTGAAAAGGGTCTTCCTTGTTTTCTAGCACTTTCTAGGGATTTGAACCTCGCATTTCTCAATATTTGGGGTACCTAATTGACCAAACATATATATTCTTAAGTCTAGGAACATAACATTAATTATCTCACCAAAATTCTATAGGATTCTCATTATTTCTTACACTTCCAGAAATCTCATAATGTCTAACTTGTTTCTTAATAAAACTTTGTTTCCCTACATTGTGAGTCATGCATGATTGAACATACCAAGCTACCAAACCCTATATTGTTCTAGGCTTCTTACTAACTTTTCAGTATGTAGTAATAGACTTTAGGAGGATCCTTCTTTCAAATGTTACCATCAACCAATTTAATATACAACATAAACATAAATCTCATGATTTTAATTTCCATGCTTGACATTTATAATTTTCATTTACAAACATCATGGTGCATCTTTGAGCATGAATCCCATAAAGGGGTAATTCAAAACATAAAAAGGGAGATTGGGGGAAGTTGAAGCCCTAGCTACATTTCTTATCTGTCAAGCAATCCGAATTTTACATTCTTGTTCTTGTCTTTATTTAGTTTTATAATTTTCGAATCCAAATTGAAATTCATAATTGATTGTCCAACTTAAGCGAAAGTAATGAATTAGTGATCGAAATTATAATCCTCGTGGGAACGATCTTGTACTCGATACACTTTATTACTTGTACGACCGGTGCACTTGCCGAAGTCGCAACAAGCTTTTGGTGTCATTGCTGGGGATTATATACTTCAACATTAATAGTAGCTATATATTCTTCAGATTGGATCTTATTTTCTGTTATTTAAATTCTGCTTTGTTAATTTAGCTTTCATTTAATTAGTCTATTTTCTGGTTTATGCGAAGTACCATTGACACCGAGTCTTTGCACTTTGATCCAGAGATAGAGAAAACTGCAAAAAGAAATAGAAAGATTGCAAAAGAGAGAAAGCAGCAAGAAAAAGAAGCGTTAAGCTCTGTTATACAAAAGGAAGAAACTATGGCAAACAATAATAAACCTCCGCAGGAAGAGTTAATAGATGCATTTCTCACTCCGAGCCTTCCTAGAGCCACATCAAGCATTGTTAGACCGATAGTGGCTGCGAATAATTTTGAAATCAAACCAGTACTACTCTCAGTGGTTCAGCAAAAATCAGTTTGCAGGCGGCGATGATTAAGACAATCACCTTCATCTGGATAAATTTCTTTTAATTTGTGACACTATAAAGATGAACGGAGTAATAGATGAAGCAATTCGTCTAAGGCTATTCCAATTTTCCTTAAAAGAAAAGGCACTAAATTGGCTTCATCAACAACTTGCCAACAATATCAACTCCTAGGATAATTTAACTGTCAAATTTTTGGCAAAATTCTTTCCAATGACCAAGTTTAATCAAATAGTGAACGAGATCACAAATTTCACCCAACAGGAAGGGGAATCTCTTTGTTCTGCTTGGGGAAGATTTAAAGACTTGTTGAGAAGATGTCCTCAATATAAGTTGCAGCTTGGGCCAAAGGTGCATGTGTTCTTCAATGGAATATCACCTTCTTCCCGAATGTTTATCAATGCTGTTGTAGGAGGTTCATTGAGACAAAAAAACTCCTACTCAAGCATTGGAATTATTTGAGTTTATGGCTTCTTTGGAAAATGAAAGTATTCCAACACAGCCAAGGAGAAGGGTTTTTCAATTAGAAAATAATGATGCTATGTTTTCTCAACAAAAAGTTATTTCTCAACAATTGTCAAATCTCACAAATATGTTTGAAAAGTTTCAAGTCTCTGCTGTGCAGACGCAAATACCAGCTTGTGAATATTGTGGAGGTGAACATGACAA